GGGGGCGGGGGGGGCGGGGCGCCCCCCCCCCCCCCCCCCCCCGGCGTAGTGTACTGTCCCCAAACACGTAACCATCCTTGTGCTATATAATAACCCATCAGCTCGATATTCACACAGCGGACGGATGCATTACATACCTGAAGCGGTTGTGGTACTAAGTGAAAAAAGAGATGGCGCAGAAGTGGCCAGGAGGGAGCCGATAGACGAAATGCTGGCTGAAGATGTCGCCGTCGATGCTAAAAATGGTAAGAAAATAAACAAACTATAAAACAAATTATTAAAGGCAAACAAAAAAAAATTACATATGATGCAGTCTGTCAATAGCATTACCCTCTACGCATACACTATCTTACCAAAAGTATTGGGACGCCTTTACACGCACATGAACTTTAATGGCATCCCAGTCTTAGTCCGTAGGGTTCAGTATTGGGTTGGCTCCGCCCTTTGCCGCTATAACAGCTCCGCCTCTTCTGGGAAGGCATCCACAAGGTTTAGGAGTGTGTCTATGGGAATGTTGGACCATTTGTGAGGTCAGGTACTGATGTTGGAGGAGAAGGCCGGGCTCGCAGTCTCCGCTCTAATTCATCCCAAAGGTGTTCTATCGGGTTGAGGTCAGGACTCTGTGCAGGCCAGTCAAGTTCCTCCACCTCAAACTCGCTCATCCATGTCTTTATGGACCTTGCTTTGTGCACTGGTGCGCAGTCATGTTGGAACAGGAAGGGGCCATCCCCAAACTGTTCCCACAAAGTTGGGAGCATGAAATTGTCCAAAATGTCTTGGTATGCTGATGCCTTAAGAGTTCCCTTCACTGGAACTAAGGGGCCAAGCCCAACCCCTGAAAAACAACCCCACACCATAATCCCCCCTCCACCAAACTTTACACTTGGCACAATGCAGTCAGGCAAGTACCGTTCTCCTGGCAACCGCCAAACCCAGACACGCCCATCGGATTGCCAGACAGAGAAGCGTGATTGGTCACTCCAGAGAACACGTCTCCACTTCTCTAGAGTCCAGTGGCGGCGCGCTTTACACCACGGCATCCCACGCTTTGCATTGCACTTGGTGATGTGCGGCTTGGATGCAGCTGCTCGGCCATGGAAACCCATTCCATGAAGCTCTCTACGCACTGTTGTTGCGCCAATCTGAAGGCCACACGAAGTTTGGAGGTCTGTAGCTATTGACTCTGCAGACAGTTGGCGACTTGTGCGCACTGTGCGCTTCACCATGCGCTGACCCCGCTCTGTCATTTTACGTGGCCAACCACTTCCTGGCTGAGTTGCTGTTGTTCCCAGTTGCTTCCACTCTGTTATAATCCCATTAACAGGTGACTGCGGAATATTTAGTAGCCAGGAAATGTCACGGAACACCTGAATCCAGTGTTTGGAGGGGGAGGGGCCCAATACTTTTGGCAATATAGTGTATAATATCGTATAGCACGGAGGTGGGCGAGGTATCGCTGTGATGCCACAAATATGCGTACAGCCAGTGCCGCTATTTTGTGCTGGGAGTACTGCAGCACTGTGACCGCGCAGCCGCCGTTTACAACCAGGAGCTGATAGGATGCACCCCCAATCACATAATCATTGTGGCCACCACAGTAATCTCATCATTGGGAGCCCACCTACCGGCCTCTGGCATTAAGAACCTACTAAAGCGCTGGCAGTAAAGGGGACAACACAGCAGCCATTTTTTTTTTCTGAGCTCCCCCACCTTGTAACATATTATTACCTGATCCGGCCAGTAAGTCTGTTATTGCTTAGCTTCCTTTAGCAAGCCAAGCTGTCCAGCAATACTGCCAGTCAGAAGGTTCAGACAAACCATTTAACACTGACGGGGGTGCTCACAACGGTCTGCTTTTATTCATATAGTGGACAAAAAAAATCCGTAACTGCTTAAAAAATATGAGCTGGAGTTCGGATTTAATTCGTCAATTACTTGTCAATAGGGATGCACCGATACTAGTATCGGTGCCGAGTATTTGGGCAAGTACTCTTATTCGCCCAAATGCTCCGATGCCTAGCCCGATACATGAGCTTCTGGTATCAGGAAGCCGGGTAGCATGTAATGACTTGCTGCCCGGCTTCCTGATTGGCCCGGTAAGCCGGCTTCATGCTCCCTCGTCACCTGGTGACGAGGGAGCATGGAGCCGGCTTCCCGGCCAATCAGGAAGCCCGGCGTCGTTACACGGCACCCCGGCTTCCTGATTGTCCAGAAAGCCGGCTCCATGCTTTCTCGTCACCAAGTGACGAGATGCATGGAAATTGCTTCCCGGCTAACCAGGAAGCCGGGTGGCGAGTCAATGCAATCCACACAGCTTCCTTAAGGGGACTTCTGGTATCGACAAGTACCGGAAAAAATTAAATAAGTACTCGTACTAGATACAGAAAAACCGATATCGGTGCATCCCTACTTGTAAACTCCACCTACCACCACAGGCTGACAATGCTGCTCCTCCATAGATAGAGTACAGGAATGAGGGTTGTCATCCTGCATGTGTATTTCCCCCCTGATCACCGGGGGGGAAAACACAGGGAAAAACCACATGCAAAAGGACCAGTCAGCGTCAATATATCACATTTAGACCTTTGGGTGTTGAGAATTATCCGAGATCTCGAAGTTGTAAATGAGCCATCAGGCTCCTTAATACTAGAAATGGTATAAGGAAAGATTTAGGATACATTTCTCTTACCTGGTGCCACCTCAAGTGGTTTCGAAAACATCGTGGCGGTCGGCTGACTAGCAGAGGCGTGTGCCGAGGCGAGGGTAGCGGCGACGGTGGCCAACTGGACGGTGGTTGGTGCTGTGCCAAATGCTGACGCGAGGAAGGATGCGCCTGCCTGAGTGTTGGCGGCGCTCACTGGATTTGTAGTAGAGGAGACGGCCGTCGTTGGTTGGCCAGAAAAGGAGAAGCCTCCGGTGAGAGATGGCTGCGTCTGTGCGGTTGTCGTTCCAAAAGGGAAGTTTGCATTCTGAACAGGCTGTGTGGCCCCGCCCAGAGCATGTTGTGTGGCCCCGCCCAGAGCATGTTGTGCTTGCTGTGCGGCCCCGCCAAGAGCATGCTGAGCTTGCTGTGCGGCCCCGCCAAGAGCATGCTGAGCTTGCTGTGCGGCCCC